GAGCTTGATTTTTTAAATTGGGATTCAGATATCACAGCTTTTGGAAATGTAGAACATGAATCCTTTTAAAGAATCAAGAACATGTGTAACAAATGTAGAATCCAGTTCTTCTTTACTGTCAGTATCTCCTCGTTTTAAAAGCCAGATTTGTATTGATTCTGTGGAAGGAAAAAAAGGAATACCCCAGTACTTGAAACATTCTATTCACTGTAGGTTTGTCCTATCAGGGCCAACCCCGGCTGAGTGGTACACTGCGTTCCAACAGATCGATTGAGGTACTCGTTTAAATGACTTCCCTAAAACGTTAATCAAACTCATCTTCTCTTCTGTGTACATCGGCAATGAGCCCAATACAGGGTACCCATTACGGATAGGATCGGGTCGAGTCGGGTCGGGTCGCGTTTGTTTTTGAGGTGATGAGTTGAGCGTGATCGGCTTGTGCCACGATGGCCGCTTTGTGCTCTCAATCTGGCTAGCAAACCGACCAGACCCGATCCGACCCCCCAACGGGCACCCCGATTAACAGACATCGATCATGTGTTGGTATGGCCCCAAAAAATACTAGCTAAACATACAGACAGAATAGTTACACTTCTTTCCACTTTTTAACTCGTTGCCAGGGCTGGGTCGTGTGGGCGTCGCAGGAAGGGACAAAATCGTCTACGCTCAAATAAAAGCCGGCCCCTCCTCACCTGTTCCCAAGCCAATCAGTAAACCATATTACCAAAATGTTTTGGAGGAGTCGAAACAGCAGAATGAGTATACAGAAATGACCGAATGTTCTGACGAAACCCAGATAACATATGTGGAAATGGCCATAGGCGAACCCCTACCAACTGCCTATGACGAGACGTATGAGCCCATTGGAAAGTCTGCTCTAACCATGACCCAATCATCACAAGACCCCTGTCATACACATCTTTCCTTCTTGCCAATGGAATCGGAAATGTCACCAAAAGGAAGGAAAAATGAGTTCCCCAAAGATTTACAGCCTGAGCAAACCCGAAAGATTGGCAGGCAGGGAGGATCTCTTACGCACAAGAAAACAAAACAAAATTCTGATAGGTCAATGTCAGATCATGCTGGTTTATACCGAAATCTGAGTACCAAAACAGATTCTTCCAGGAGAAGTAGCCTTGTTACTCTAGAGCAAGAAGACCATGTCTTTCAGACTTTCATTTTTCAGCCTGAAAAGAAACAGCAACAAGCTGGAGATTTTTCAGATTATCAAGCGCAGAACACTGTGCCAGTGTATGAACCGTTTTACGGGTGCAAACAAAAGACTCAATCAAAATTCTATGATTTAAACGATTCGACGTCAAAGACTCAGTCCACGCAAAACAAAACACCCAGTTATTGTGCCGAATGCAAACAAAGTGATCAGGAAGACGATGTTTATGAGTTGTTACACTTTGGGACCACCATCCCAGACTCAAAGACGCACCCTTACGAACCTCTGGGCATCTCCTCTCCTGATAAAATCTATGAAAGCGTTGAATGGAAACCACAATCTCTGACGTACCCTCCCGCTGCTGAGCGCTACGGGCGTGCCTTTAAAACTAAGGATGGGAACCTCAACGTGTATGACAACCGGACATCTGTTGGAATGATAAAGAGAAGCAGCACGATCGCCACGTCACGCCCTCCATCCTCACTGACTGTGGACTACCCATACTCCCAGGTGTGCGAGCTGACCACAGATCCCAAATGGAAGAGCTCCCGAGCCTCATACATTGATGTGTTTGCCAGCTACGAGGACATCAAAGCGGCTAGGGCTCAAAGAAGTAGCTTCAGCAGTTCCAGTTCAAGAGCGGCTGCGTCCAATACTGGTAACATGAGACGGAGTAAATCTGACACTAACGGACCAGCTCTGCTGGAAGGTGACTCTTTCCTAAAAGCATGAGAAATATCTTTTGACCTTTCACAAAGCGGTATTTGAGGTATTTTTCTGGACTTTCCTTGCTCATTCGCTTGGAATTTAAGTTTTTGGGTCGATTTATTTTGCATGCGCAGCTCGGAATTAATTTATCAAAATTTACGTTTAAATGTTCACAGGTTAATAGTACTTCCATTTATTATCTTCTTTTTATATATGGCTGCGGTTACTTTTCAGGTGTCAACGATCCTTGAACTAACATCAGAACTTAAACTTTGTTTCATAAGACGTCAGGGTGCATGCAGCCGACTCATAGGCTTGACTGGTTGAACTTTCTACTAAACTGTTTAATTTGAATTTGTTGTTGACGTGGAAAAAAAATCAGGAATCACTGATTAACCCTTTATTACTAAAAATTATTTCTGTTCGCGTTGAAGCAAAGCCCCCCCCCCCCCTCCCCTCAGTAATTGCATGTATTTTGGATTTTCCCAACTTATTTGTGTCAGCAGAGCACAAACGTTACTATACACACGTAATGCTGCAGCTGTTTTGTATTTCTTTGACTTTAATATCTACATCTGTTTCTGCACTCGGTGGGCCTGGTGAGGTTTGCATGCTTGTTTGGGTAACAATTAAAAAAATTCCTCCAAACACTGATTTTAAAAAAGTCTCACCGAAGTGCAAACTCACAGTAAATGAACATATACTATTTTCTCGGTGGTTAACAGTAAGAGGTAGTTCGTTTTCTGGCACATTTAGGAACTTCTCTCTCTCTATTTCACTCTCTCTCTCTCTCTGTCTCTCTCTCTCTCACTCACTCAGTCTCTCTCACTCACTCTCTCTCTCTCATTCATTCTCTCTCTCCTCTCTCTCCTCTCTCTCTTTCTCTATCTCTCTATCCCCCCCCCCTCTCTCTACCCCCCCCCCTCCTTTCTCTTTCTCTATCGATAGCCTGTGAAATCATTTATGGTGAGCTTGATTTTTTAAATTGGGATTCAGATATCACAGCTTTTGGAAATGTAGAACATGAATCCTTTTAAAGAATCAAGAACATGTGTAACAAATGTAGAATCCAGTTCTTCTTTACTGTCAGTATCTCCTCGTTTTAAAAGCCAGATTTGTATTGATTCTGTGGAAGGAAAAAAAGGAATACCCCAGTACTTGAAACATTCTATTCACTGTAGGTTTGTGACGTTACGTTAGCGCCCCCCCCCCCCCCCCACTTTTCACTTTCATTATAAAATAATATTTTTTCACCAACCCCTGTTTGTCCGCTTTCAGTGGTGACAGCTGCTTTCCGCGACAAACTGGAGCAGACCTTGGGGGGCGGTCTTTCAAGCCCTCCACCAACCACAAAGCAAGCTCCGGACTTTTCCAGACCGACCCAACAGTCCACAGCCAACATTGCTCAAGGCCACAATGTCTTTTCCAACAGCCCAAGACCCAGCGAGCCGCCTGACTCAGTAGAAGCGGCTGATGAGACTTATGACAACATTGACCATTACAGTAACGCAAGCATGTTCACTAAAAGCCAGTAGTAACAGGAGAGAGAGAAGAGAGAGAAGGAGAGTGAGAAGAGAGAAGAGAGAGAGAGAGAGTGAGAGAGGGAGGGAGAGAGAGAGAGAGAGAGAGAGAGAGAGAGAGAGAGAGAGAGAGAGAGAGGGAGGGAGGGAGAGGGAGAAGGAGAGAGAGAGAGATAGAGATAGAGAGATAGAGAGAGAGAGATAGATAGAGAGAGAGAGAGAGAGAGAGAGAGAGAGAGAGAGAAAGAGAGAGAGAGAGATGCATAAAAACACATAGATTATTTTTATAGACTGGGGATTTATTGCTAGGGAAACACAAGACATTTTCTTGAGGAAGGTGTACGTTCGTAATGATGTATCTTGCAGTTCAATTTAGGATCACATAGGCTTAAACAGCACCTAAACGAAGGTACGTAATGTGTCTATAAGTAAATTGCTGTTGGTTATATATTTTGCAATTTGTGTGAGACTGTACATGTATACCTTGGGGATAGTTATACTTGAGGTTGCCTTGAAAAAAAATCAAAGCTTTTGCATGAGGTGTAAATTACATTGGTCTCTGCCAAAAGCAGTCGGGGAGTACCTTCTAGCAATGAATGAAACAACAATGTATAGGATAGTTGCGGGAAATCTAATAAGGTCGGGCGTTATTTTGAACAAGTAGAGTGTCCTTAGGCCTAAAGGCCGGGGTTACCAACCCTCGCTTTACATTGATATCCTTCACAAGTTCCTTTGGATGCTAATGTACATTAATAGAACTGAATCTTGTTTTCAATACAAAGAATAATATAATACAAACACTAATCACAACAAGAATATCCTTTCTGCTCAGACTCTTTTAAGTGAAACCAGAACGATAGTAACACTATGATCAAAATACTGTTTTTAAACAGAAATGTTATCCTCCATTTACAAGGCATGTTTCAATTTTTAAAAAAAACTCTTTTATTTGTCCCAGAAGGGTACTTTGGGTTATTATGCGAGACATACATATATACATACATAAATACATAATTATAAATACGTACATACATAAATACAAGCATAAATACACAACATTACACAAATACAGAACAGTTTACAACCATGCCACTGTCGGTCACCACTGTGCAGCGCCCTGTATTTTGAGCTAGGGTTGTCGTGTCTTGCTCAAGGACACACCCTAGTGACCACTCATCTGATCCCCGTGTCACCGACACTTGCTTGACATTACTTGAGTCTAAACTCACTACTCACTTAGCAGGGGCGGCTCGTGAGGCTAAAAGTGGACGTGCACAATTAAGATAGCATGCTGAAGTTAGTCAAGGGCATAGTAAATGAGAAGGCGTATCATTTTAGGATCTTTGGGTTGGTGAGGGAGGACCTCGTGCTTTTATTTTCATTCTCTTTACTTTTCGCCTTGATTTCTAGTACTAAATTTATTTGTTAGCTGGATCTAAACATCAATTTCGTTCATCCTGTATTGGAACTGAACATTCAAGTAATAACTTTCACCACTCCACTACAAAACCATTCAAAGGCACAACTCATAGGACGGCCACGTTCACCTTCCTCAGGTTCTCGGTCACAGAGTCACTTAAAATAGCGGCAAGACAATTGTCGGGGCTCACATAATATTGGCAAAGAATAGTCATACGGTCTATCGTGTTTATTTTTAGACTGTCTACTGTAGGCCACAATCATTGCTGTGGGCTATGTTTCGGCACTATTCGGCAGGATTGAGACGTGCCATCTTATAAATATTAATGTACTGCCAAACTCGCTACGAGTGTCGTCATCGCTTGGGTTATCCCCAAGAGCGATTTATAGGTCAGGTTACACTGTTAAATATCCTATTATGTTTATCTAAAGCGCGTGGACTTTGGCATGGCATAGTAGATGTTTTACGGCGCTATAGACACAGTTATGGCGCCTGTGAGGACCTTGTATTGGTATAATATTTGGCTAGTGTTTATTTCTGGCTTCTTTTATTTTGTTATTGTGGGTGTTTTACGTAATAGAACATTAAAAAAATTTGGGCGGCACTGCACGACCGTGCTCTATGGACGAACCGCGCCTGTCACTTAGCCGCTGGAGCCCCCTAACATGCGAGGAAAGTTTGTAAATAATAAAAGCCTACTTGTATACTGTACGTGTAATCAAGTAAATGTTCCCACTGCCTTTATTGAACTCATTTTTGACGCCCAAAAATATATATTATGTGTGTGAGTCTTACTCACCTCGAGTGATAATTGCAATTTTGAATGTTTTTTACCCCTCCCCCCAACACACACACAAACACACACACACACACACACACACACACACACACACACACTCACAATTTACATGATAAAGGTGGTGGGCTGCTTCGACCTTGCCTGTAAGGGCAAATCCAGGCTTTGACGGATACAACGTCCCAGCAAACAGCTGGAAACACTCTGTAAAAATACCCTCCCTTCTCGGGAATCGAACTTACATCCTCTGTATGCGACGTCTGAATACCTATTCATTATGCCCTAGGCGTTGCAGCTATTTTGATGGATGAAAAAGTCATGGGGTTCTTCTGGCGTTTACCTCGTGTGTTGAGGGTTCGCGACAAGATCTTGTTTTTTGTTTTGAAAGTCTTTTACGGCGCTCTTTCGTGCATCAGCCACTGGCACTTAGTATGTAGCACTACTGGGAGTGGAGACCCGGCATGGGTGTGATAAGTCAAAGAAATTCCAGAAGGAGGACTCAAGTTAACTGTTATCGTCTGCTGTCTTTCTGTTGGAGAGCACGACACTCTCCAGTGGTACAGAATGCTTTTTGCGCACAACGACATTTTTGTGATAGTAAAGAACGCTGTATCTCCATTAAAAATAACAACAATAAAAAAAAATTACTAGAAACATTTTTTATGTAACCCACTGTACCTAGATCTGAAATATTGATATTTTCGTGTAAATTTCAGTAATGTTGAAACTTTGTCATAAGCTTATAATAATGTAATTATTGTAAAGAAGCAGAAATGTGTAGCTGCTTTTTTTTCTTTTTAATAGAAAAGTCATAATGACACCTTTTTTTGTCCTGTCATCTTCAAAACCAGACTATGAAGAGCATTTTTTTTCGGAACGGGCTAAAAGAAGATAAATCATTTTAACGAAACACGACAATCTTTTTTTTCGAAACTTTTTATGTCTGGAAAGGCATGACACACATATTAAAACAAAACACAAAAAACTCCCAAAAGTAACAAAACCTAAGACACATTCAAGCACACTGAAGGAGTGGTTTACGATATGTATGCTATGCAAGGACCTATATCTATAACACAAATGTTATATTAGAGCTGTGATGTACAGTTAATTCATTACAATAATGTGAATTACACATGTTGCCTTATAACCCAACTCATATCATGGTGTGGGACGTTAACTGGCCAAGTCCATGTACTTAATTTGTTCTTAAAGAGCTTTTAAAAAACCCTGCTAAGTTAAATAGTATGTATGTACAGTATGAAATAATGCTTAGTTACCAGGTATTGTACACGTGTTTGATGGAAATGAATTGTTTACTGAAGCTAGATATCAGTATGGTATACCTCATGGAAGATTCAGTTAAGGTAACAAAGGTGTCTAAACATTTTTTTGGAAAAAAAAGAAAGAGGAGAGATAAAACTTAAACCTTTTTGATTTGGTTGGTTTCTACCCAACACCATCCATTTTTATTTTATTCAATTACTCCAGTATCTGCTTGTTGATCTTATGATAACATTATGACCAATGGCAAACTTGGCTCAATGTGTGTATGTGTGGCCTGTGAGAGTGGTTGCCGAAACCTTCCCCCACCCAAAAGAGAAATTTCGTGTTCTCCATTAATTCCTCTTGATCAAAGTTCGGCGGGGGGGGGGAGGGGGGGAGGAGATAGTAGGTAGGTGAATTGGTTAGTACTTGGGTGATATTAGAATTTGTAATACTTTTTTAGGATGGTGGGAAGAAACTTGACCAATGGATGTGTTTTTGTATGTGTGTGAGTTTGAGGAGGGCAAGGTGGATTAGGGGAGGGGAGGGGTCGGGTGTTTAGCGGGTATGTGTGTGTGTGTGGGGAGAGGGGGGCAACAAGGACAAGCTCCGTGTGTTTTTTTGTGTTTGTGTGTGTGTGTGTATGTGTGTGTGTGTTTGTGTTTGTGTGTGTGTATGTGTGTGTGTGTGTGTGTCTGTGTGTGTGTGTGTGTGTGTGTGTGTGTGTGTGTGTGTGTGTGTGTGTGTATGTACTTAATAATATTATGTACAGTTTTACTAGCTAGACTAGTTCTTGTGCTGTAGGAATGACCGTATTTTTATTTAGTCTTAAGAGATGAGAGTTGCGCAAATAGATAGTAAAGCTAACTTCATATCCAGGCCTATATTAAGTGTGATATTCTTCCTTTTAATAAGTTCATTTTCGCCCAGTATTTGTGTATATTATAGTTTTACTTATGGTTGTGATTTATTTTGTTGAACAGTTACCAGTGTACAGCTTTTTACAAAAACAAAAAGTAATAACACGGGGGTGCCTATCATCATAGTAGGTTTCAAAGAAATTTGTACATTGTGCCAAGTATATACATGTGTATATATATATGCTAATGCTAATAATATAATAAAGACAATAATAACGATACCTTTGTATTGAACTTTATTGTTAGTTCATGTTGTGACTGATAAGGCAGAGAAAGGCCCTTTGTGCTGAGGATGAGTGGCTTGGTAAAGCTGCACCTTCGAAAAAAGAGTATTATATGAAAAGACAAATTATGGACTTTATTGTAGTTTCGAAATCAGAATTAAGTCCTACTCAAAGTGATTCAAACGTAAATGGTTATTTGAACCCCCTTCCCCCCCTTTAAAAAAACACACAAAAAAACAACACTTTTCTTTTTTATCACAATACATTATATTATTATTCCTTAGCTAACGTGAAAGGCTTTTCGGGGTAAGTGAATTCTCTGTCAACCCTGCCTGAGAGGGATAAAATGTCCCGGAAGAAAGAGGGAGACATGCGATAAAAAAAAGTTCTCGTCCCCACTTGGTAATCGAACTCACGTGTACGGTACTGCTTGCGATGGCGAATCGCCTAACCGCAACACCACAGACACAGTT